CCAAAACCTTTTCATCTACCAGGATATTATCATGTGCACTGATATTCATAACACGGTCAGAAGAAAGCTTGGGCCACATGGCAGAGGTAAAATGAGATATTAGGAGAGCAAAGTGGAGTGATAGATGCCTTTAAGTTGGTGCATTTGGGGAAGGAGAGAGTAGTAAAATTACACCTTGAATGAAGGCTATAGAAGAATTTCAACAAGTAGATAAAGGGTGCAGGGAGAGGGGAAAAGCCATTTCAGGTTGAGAGCAAAATGTGAACAAAAGTGAAGGAAAAGGGTATAGTATGTGAAAGAGGGAGCAAAAAATCTAGTTGGGGCCAGCTCCGTGGCCGAGAGGTTAGGTTCGAGCACTCCGCTGCGGCGGTCCAGGGTTCGGATCCTGGGCACGGACATGGCACCGCTGGTCAGGCCACGTTGAGGCAGCGTCCCACATCCCACAACTAGAAGGACCTGCAACTAAGATATACAACTATGTACAGGGAGGGGTTGGGGAGATAAAGCAGAAAAAAAAAAAAAAGATTGGCAACAGTTGTTAGCCCAGGTGCCAATCTTTTAAAAAAAAAAAAAAAAAAACAAAATCTAGCTTACGAGGACCTTGAAAAACAGTGCTATGGAGGCCTGCAAGAGGGGATACAAATAGATAATCATCAATCTTGAACATCTCTTAGAGATTTAATGTCTTTATCTTGTTGACAGATGAAATTAACCCTTTGTATTCAGCGTTAGGCCTTAGAAGCATAATTTTGACAGAAATGTAGGAATCCATTGGACAAAACAGAAATGGGAAGAAGAGAGGTAGTTAGGAGGTATTGTTAATAGTTCAGGTAAGAGATACAGAACGTCTTAACCAGGATGAGAGGTGAATTTGAATGGCAAAGGTGGAATCAAATGGTTTTGGTGACTAGCTGATTATAGGGCATATAAAAGAAGCAGAAGGTAGGGTTTGGGCAACTGGCAGGAGGTGCTGCCAGTCATTAACTGGGGGTGTGAAACGAGGCAGATTCTAAAGGAATGTGATGAAAGTTGTCAAGTGCCCGGAAGAACACCAGTTTATTATAAGCACACTGGCACCAAATCGTATCTCTAAACGTAATTGTCTATGTGGGATGTTCAAATCCAAGCCACCATAAAGAAGTTCAGTTTACAAAAATGTTAGCCCCCTATTCAAAAATACGTGCATGTACTGTGATCTATGAAACTTAGTTTAAACACCTCATTCTACTATTTCTCCCGGTTGAAGTGCGGTCTTCTACGACCGCTCTTCAAACTTACTCTCTGTATTTAAAAGTCTCAACTCCTAGTTAAGTACAGCCCGCACCTTAATTAAACTTGTTAATTCTTTTTAAAGATCACACATCAAAATCACACCTCTATTCTTTACCCATATTCTTTCTTTCCTCTGGAAATCCTTGGTTCCCATGCAAATTTGCACATCCTTAACAGTCGCACGATACCACGCTATTTTGAAGCCTACCTTTAGAACTAACCGTACATTTTATTCCTTCTTTTTATATTCCACGCTGCTCTTTACACCCCTGTTATTCCATTTTGCATCAAATGTTTGGTGATTATCATATCCCTCTTACTCTATTATAAGCTCTTTGCATATAGAGAAAATATATACTTCTCGATTTCTTGCTCATAACAGGTATTCGGTAAACTTAATTAAAACCACAGATCTGCCAACACGTATATGATACTAAAAGTAGAAAATTCAGGGAATACAAATATTTGATTTGACGGTTATAGAAATTATACTTAGTCTGAGGGGAACAATGCAAGATATTGGATTAGAGCAATGCTTCTGAAACTTTAATCTGAGTAAAATCTGGGGATCTTATTAAACACAGATTCCTGGGCCCAGCCTGAGATTTGATTCAGTGGGTCTAGGGTAGGGCTGCGAATTTTTATTTCGAACAAATTCCCTGGTGATGCTGATGCTGCTGGACAATGGATGGGGCATATTAAATAGAACTGGTTTAAAGGGTTAATCTGACATCAGAATGCCTGGAATTAAATTCTGTCATCACAGCTTACTAGCTTTGTGCTCTCAAAGTACCAAACCGCAGTGAGCCACAGATTCCTTACCTGTAAAATTACAATAATAACAGAACCCCATTCTGACCGGAGTGAGGTGATAGCTCACTGTGGTTTTGATTTGCATTTTCCTGATAGCTAATGATGTTAAGCACCTTTTCATATGCCTGTTGGCCATCCATATATCTTCTTTGGAGAAGATAAGAGAACTAAAATAGTTGGTCTAGAAAACATGCTTCTGACAGTACCTGACACATAGCATGTGCTTAAAAATTGGATGTGATTGTGAGTATTTAATGGTACACATAAGTCAACAGATTCCTAAAGAACAGGGGTCATTAAACCATGGCCTGCAGGCCAGACCTAGCTCATCATCTGTTTTGGTAATGCTGCTGAGCCAAGAATAGTTTTAAAATCTTTAAATGATTGAAAAACATCAAAAGAAGAATATTTTGAAATGTGTGAAAATTACATAAAATTCAAATTTCATGTTCACTGTCTATAAATAAAGTGTCATCGGAACACAGCCACACACATTCATCGACATATTGCCTATAGATGCTTTTGTGTTACCATAGCAGAGCTGAGTAGTGACATGACAGACCATATGCCTGGCAAAGCCTAAAATAGATACTATCTGGCTCTTTACATTAAAAGGTTGCCAAACTCTAATATAGCACCAAGTGACTTTATTAGTGAATTTTGGGGACTAGAACCACTCATTTTTCTGGTGTCTAGAGTGGCAATAATGTTCAGTGTGTATAGTTTTTTTTATAATGAAACTGTACCAAAGTAATGAAGGATTCTTAGGAACCAAATAATAAAATAAAGAATTGGGAAATAAGATGAATTTGAGGGATAAGTGGTAAAACGGAGTAATTACTATCAAAGTTCCTCAAACCAGGAAATGCTATTAGATGCCCCAACCCACTTTTTTGAAAAATCAATATTTATTGTCCTTTTTCTGATTATAAAAGCAATACATGAGTATGGTATTTGGAAAATACAAAAATGTATACAGAATATAAATCGATCATATTCCCAGTATTAGAAATAATCACATTTTAAACATTTTTGTTTTTACAAAATTGGGATGTTACTATACAAAATGATTTTATATTTTTAATGTAACATTTCCCCAACATCCTCATATTCTGAGAACATTGTGTTTAGTGGCTAATGATGTTTCATTGTTTGGAAATGCCATAATTTGTCTAATTATTGCTCACATTATTGGATTTTAAGTTATTTTAAGGTTTTGTTATTATTTATAAATGATGGCATAATAAACAAATGTATGATTTTTCTAAAAATCTGTGATTTTTTCTGCTATAATAAATTACTATAAGAAAACAACTTTTTTCTAAAATTGGGCTGATTTCAAAGAAAAGTAGAAGTAACAGAAGATTAGAGACAATGTTTACGTTAATTGGAGCAGTCTCTGTTACTCTCCTCTCTCTTTCCTCTCTGTTGCTCTCTCTCAGTTTTCCAGATTTCCAAATGACACCAGTGTGGAGGATTTCTACTCTATGATTAGTAACATTAAATGACTTCTATTATCTTTGATCAACCATGTTTTGTTTTTTTTATATATATACCCCATTCTTAAAACCATACTATTACAATCAGGAAAAAAAAAGCTTTTCTGTTTTGTTTAAAATTCCCCCTTCCCTTAGAAAAAAAGGCAATAATCTTATCAAAAATATTTTATTTACAAAAAAATCAATTATACTATACATCCTATACTGGAAATACATTGAATAATTGCTAAAATAAATACAGGCAATTAATTCAATCTTTTTATAAGAATGAGAGAATTTGACATTTGAATGTTATCAAAGCTTAACTTAGAACATAAATAGTTAAAAAGGCAAACTCAAGTTTTAGTCTCATTTATTGGCATGGTGTGTTTGTTCCCCACAAGCTCTCCAATCAGTGAGAGTCTGCATTGCAGAATGTTATGTACCTTTTTGTATTCCAAAGGTAGAATGTGCAGCTTTTTCTTAGGCAGGATAGATGGAACACAGTTGTTTGCATGAAAAAGAAGCAGACATGCAGAAAGCACGTGACTGGACGCTTCTCCACATGTCTCCGCTTCATCGCAGTCCTTTGTATGTAACAATTATGTGTTCAATTGTGTTTTTAACACAGGTCTACACAGCACCAGCTACAAGACAAGATGGATCCTGTCAATAGCCAAACTGAATAATTGAGGCTCTGGAGTAGCTAATTAGCTGGTTAAGGGCACCTGGTTCATCGATTTTTTTATGTGCCAATTCTTGATACACTTATTAAACCTTGATATCATTTCTACTATGTAAACATATTTATGTAGGCCAAGAACAGGAGAGATGAAGAAATTATCTGTATAATTTGGAAAAAGTCCTCCCCAGAAAGTAAAAGTTAATTTTGAATCTACGTGCTTTATATTTATTATAATTTATCCAACTCAACCACGTCAACCTCATACAAACACGGAAAGTGAACTAGCAAGCTGAAAAGAAAAAGACAGATAAAACTTGTTCAATATATTGACAGGATCCGGTGAATTCAGGCCACACAACAAAATGATGAACCACACTGAATATCTCCAAATCATATACACAGTTTTTTCCACTTTCCATTTTACTTAGCCTGGGAAAACACTGCTAGAATCTCCAAAGATTATTCATCTTTGGTACTTATGTTTTGTCCAGTGCTGGATGCCTAGTGTTTTAACTCAAGGACTAATCTTATGAAAAAAATTGCACTTTTCTATCCCTTTGGCCTTGATTTTCAATGATTTTCATTTTTTGTACACATAAGTATGTATTTCTATTCCCAAAGTGTGACAGGTACATTGGCCTTTTCTGAAAGAAATGAAAAGAAATCAAATATTGAAAGTTTGAATACTTTTTCACAGAAATAATCTATTCAATTTTAAAAGGAAGAGAGAGAGAGAGAGAGAAACATTTTTATTTTTTCTATTATGAGCAACATCAGTCAACCAAGCTTCACATTTTGGGTAGGTTTTCTTTTTTTTAAGTATGAATTTTTTCAGAACCTATTATTATTTTTTAAAAAAGAAGAAGAACAGGTGTATTTTGGCAGAGAAGTAAAATATAGAATATGCAAAATTTGTTTTAAAAATTGGCATACAAAATTTTAAAACACAGTACAATTATATAAAAATACAGCACAGCCAATGGCCTTTAAAATTTCCTTTGGCATTTCATTTGGTAAAGTTAAACAGAAAATCCTTTCTAAAAAAAATTAGCTATCAACACAGTCCATAAGTTAGGTTGTATACATTGAAAGAACTTTTCCTTGAGTTTCCAAAATCCTTTTCTTCCATGATAACCCACATAAAGCATGGCCAGTGAGGTATATAGAAAAAACAGGCGATGTACAGTAAGGAAAAAGTGCATAAACAAAAATTTCTTCCCATTTTCATAGAAATAACAGGTTCAATCTGAGTTTCTTCTTGTTGATGTATGATTTTACTTTGGCAGAATCAAAATAAACCCATAGAAATGTCTTTGTTCAAGTCCCAGCAGCAGTGATATGTCTCCGTTGGTGGCATTGTCTGATGCCCCACGCTGTACAGTCCCTAGAGGAACTAAGGTTTTGTGTGTGTCTGTGTGTGTGACTGCAAACGTCAAACAATGTAAGGTCATACATCAAGCACCATGTCATACTGTTGTCCCTTCTTCCGCCTGCCACATTTGTTGATGAGAACCACGTACAGCGTCAAAAGCATGACCCAATAGCATGCATAGAGCAACGTTCCAACGATTAGAACTGTCTGTTTGGATTCTGAGAATGGCTTTTTAGATTCCATATAAATGGTGAAAATGACTCCACCCAGGAGGATTGTAAACCACACTGATACTGGAATGAGTCCTATGAAATTAACAACAATGGTTTTCCTTCCAGATGTGCCCCACCCAGCTTTGTTTATCGTGGCAATAGCAAACATTTTGGCGGGCAGTAAACTTGACATGTATAACACTGAGTAGAGGGACATGAAGACCATGACGATGTTTCCTCTAAGGCAGCTGGCAAAGGAAGACTTTATGAGACCTACTAACTGGACTGTTAACAAGAAGAGGAGGATATTCCAAATTTTACCCCGGTAGAAGAGCTGGATTACTGTGGCAATGAGAAAGAAAGGGAAGAATCCAGTGATAACCGCTTCGTAGGTCATCCACAAGTGATGTTTATGAAACCACATCGCATTGTACAGCCACTCTCGGAAGTAGGACTTGCTCCAACGGGTCTGCTGGTTTAACCATCTGAGATATTCTATAGGTGTTTCAGTAAGGCACTTGGATCGAGCTGTGTATTTTGTTGCATAACCCAGACTCAGCACTCGGTTCGTTAGATGCCGGTCATCGCCAAAACTACATTGGCTGCCCATAAATTCCTGATTGTACCAGTCTTCTACGAATTCATGCAGCAAGGAGTTTCTGTACATTCCCAGGGGTCCACTAATGCACTGGACGCACCCAAAATAAGACTGACAGGCTCTTTCTATGTTAAAAGCCATCCAGTATCTCACACTGCTGAGGAAGGAGATCCAGGAATCGTACTTGTTTAAAATCTGCAAGAAGGAAAAACTAAGTAAATAAAAGGTAAACCATAGCTAAAAATACCAGCAAACTCTACATCATCATAAAGTTACTATGAAGAGTGTAGTTTGTTATTTTGTCCTCCTGTTTTGGCTTCCTTCCTCTTTTTGACGTGGTTAGATTTTATTTTCTCTGATTCTGTACTACTAGATTAATTTGATAAGTTGTGTGCACATGTTGCGAATGATGACAAATATTTCTTTTACTTCATTATCTGCTATCCTCTTTTCGCTACGTTTTTTGTTCTGGTTGGATGTGATACATAGAGATTTTTTTAGGCTGTAGTTCTCAGCCCCTAAATTCTTCTCCCACTCTTTCCTGCCACCTAAGATTTGAAGGTTTTGAAGTCCTATTCTCTCCTCTTCTGGTTAATTTCCAACTCATCCAATTCTGCTAATTTTCCTGCTCCTACCTCCCCTCCTTTATACAATGCCAGTGATAAAAAGGATTTGCTCTGGCCTCCCCCGAAAACTTGAATCCCGAAATAATAATCTGTATAAAGGCTATGGAAATGTATCAGTTTTTTCTTGGCAACATTTCTAAACTCTCTCCTCTGTCTCAATTTTGTTCAATTTTCATCTGGATTTTGCATGCTTCCTTTTTATCAGCACGTTATTTCTTCGTCCATTCTAGTGCATTTTCTTTGCCTTCTGTCACCATGAATGCACAAAATGCATTACACAGCAACATAATGCCTAAATTTTAAAGTTGAATTTCTATGTGCTTCTCATCTTTTGCTAAAATCTAATCATACATTTGCAAAGACCTCATTTTAATCTTCATATACTTCCACATATTTATTTTCCCATCCCACAAATTTCAAATTGCCTTCATTAATATTGTTTCACTAACTGTTTCTTCATTTATAATAAATAATGGGAAATAAGGAGTAATTAGTGGGAAATAATTGGAAAACCCACCTATTAATGAATCTTTCGTTTTCTTTTCTCACTAGTACAAATTTGAGTCACTGTTTCTCTTTTCTTCTTTTGATTTCCAATTTGGATTTTTGATCAACCATATATTGGTCTTAAATGATCAATATGATCAATAAATTGATTGATTTTAAATATATGAGTATAAGATATAGAATCCATCCCCTGCCATAATTCCATTTTTTTAACCTCGCAACTAAATGGATTCCAACATCATATTTTTTACCAGAACATTAAGTTATGGCTCAAGAAGATATGGTGGAAATCATTATACATTCACATTATATTGTACATAACTTATCAGCCACAACAGACATGGGTTATACCCCAGGATTAAGCAAAGAGATACTAAATTCTTTCAATTTAGGGGAAAAGGCAGTAAAGTGGGTAAATATATGTTCAATGAATCAATGAGTAAGAGTGCTACTAAAAGTGACTCATGCAAAAAGTGAAGCCATATGCACCTGGACATCTCCTCCGACACCTCCAACCATGGGGTCTTCTTCTAAAACTTTTACCATCTCCACAGACGAGGCAGGGTCAAGCATGGTATCTGAATCACAAACCTGCAAAGAAGAAAACAGAAATGAGTCAAAGAAGAGGAAAAACTATGAGTGGGTTCCATACAGTTAAAATTGGGCATATACATTATGCCTTCAGCCTTATTGTCACGGCCTTAATAAGCAAGTATCACAGGGATGACCAAGTTGTTATATCACAGCCAATACAAAGAGCTTGTTTTTCAGCAAGCTCAATATTTAAGTTAATGGCATCATTGACTAGAAGAGCTAAAGTGATGTACTAGGTATGTCTTAAAGGGTGATCAGCTTGTCCTAGTTTGCCATGGAATGTCCCAATTTTGGCAATGAAAGTCTTACATCTCAGGGAACATCCTAGTTTTCCAGGACTTGGAAAACATCCTGGGTTGGTCACTCTAGATATTTATTTTTATTTTTTCCAGTCACCTTAAATAAAGCTTTTAGGCAATTTGTCCTTCGGGTCTGAATGATGTTTGGAAAATTCTATGACAGTATTGAAAGGGAAACATGTTTAATAGTGATTTTTCCCCCTATTTCAATAGGGTGAATAAAACACAGGAAAGCAGTTCTCCTACAGCTGGTTGTATAGTTCTGAAGCAAGCTGTCCATATGACCTGGGCTCGGCAGAGACATTGCAGCAGTAAGGGAACTAGCATGACCTTCAGACCGCTTTTTTATCCTAGAGTATTAAGTATCCATCTAGCCCCTTGTATATAAAAGCAGATTTAATTATCTTAAGCCATTCTAGAAATGCTAATTACTGTTCTTAAAAATCTTTATGTGGGTCAAAAAAAAAGCAATTCTGAAACCAAATCAACTGCAACTGCAAGAAAATTATTAGTCAATACTGTGAACTCCTGACAGACATTTCTATTGAAGGCCCAGGGGCGTAGGGTTATAAACAGTACTTTTCTTTCCAGCTTGATTTCTGAACCATTTGGAAAATGAAACAGAAGAATAAGGTGGATGAGAGACTAAACTATCACCTGTGTAGTCATAAAGCTGGTGCAGAGAATGGGGCTTATATCTGTGGAGTGTCGGTCTTCATAATTATGTTCCCTAGTATCTAAGTGGGGCCAGCCTCCTCCTGCAGACACAGTGCACCCCCTTCAAAAGGGATGGCAGATGTCTGTTCCTTGAGGTAGCCCACTCCCAGAAGAAGAGGGGAAGGTGAAGCTGGGCTACTCCTTCCACACTCACCAATCAGATTAAGTCATTTCTCTTAGGGAGGAAGGAGCAAGACAGCTGGGAAAAGTTACTTCTCCTTAGCGCAAGGTTACTACTACTTACTTACTACTACTAAGGTGGGTTATACCTGTGGATGGAGCTTCTTCCACAGGATCAAAGAAAATCAGAAGTAGGAACAGTGCTGCCACCTCTCCCTGAGTAATACTAATAAGACATAGTGTTCCCTTCTGGAGAATGCAGCAAGGCCACAGCAGATGTAAACCGAACAGAGCTGACCTGTAATGAACCAGTTTCACATCCCCATCCAAACAATAAATGACATGATTAGAAGAGACTGGGGCGTTATCTACAATTCCCATTATTTTCCCATCAAGTCTGGCTATACAGGATGGATTTAGTCAGGATTTAGCCTACTTATTTACATCAAAAGTAATTATCTTTACAGTTCGCCAAACTACTTTATAAAAATTGTAGGCATTTGATACACCACTTTTGAATGGGGGAAAAAAACCTAAAAAAATCATTTGTAGAGTTGAAGGGGAGCTTATACATATGTAGCATGACTCCCTCATAGGATTAGCTAAGGAATTCCAACATTCTAAAAAATGTGTCTCTCTCAATTTTACCAATAGCTTTTTCTTTTCTGAAAAGATTATATATTAATATAGAATGTTGGTGAAAACAGCAACTTAAATGCATTATTCAAACTTACGACTTAGAGTATCTGGGGTATCCAGTTATAAAACACGAACTTATCACTTCTCTGTATTTAACTAATTATAGCAATTTTAGGGTTAACTTCTGAATTTTTAATCTCATTTTACTTATTTGGAAGCATCCATTTTCTAAATAAGAACCCATTTACTGTTTGTTTGTTGTTTGGCATTCTATTTTGGTCCAGCATGGTCTCATTTATTTTAGAGAAAAAAAAAAATCTCAGGCTGAAGCTAGGCATTAGTTTTTCTTTGTAGAAAGTAGGATTTTATGAACACTTGGCTTTGTAGCTGTGTCCTAAACCTCAGAAGCCTAAATAAATTACTCCAAAAGCGATGTTTTGCTTTTCCCATGCCTTGTCTATCACTGGTTTGTATATGGCTATCAGCCAACCAGGAGGGTAAAGAAAGGTGAAGGCAGAAGGTCAACCCACCTTTAGCATGAAACATCCTGAAAGTCTATGGCCACACCCACCTCTGTTGACTCAAGCCCGGAAAGGTAAACCAGAAGGCTAAAATAAGACTAAAAACAACAGGAAGGGGACAATCCAGAATTAATGTTCAAGTAACTCCGCCTGCTTGTGAGCATAAACAAGCCAAGGGAACTGCCCCTTTGAAATGAATAAACTTGAACCAAACGTCTGAGGTTCTGCATATTTAAATCGGTCCTGCCCCTCCCAGTTTCCAACAGCAAAGTGCCAGAAGTTCTCTGAGAGAGATTGTTCACATGATGAGTGTAACTGTGTCAGAAGGGAAAGCTCGCAGAAATCTCTTGGGAAGGTGTTTGCTATATGGGAGTAAAGAGCTTTCCAGAAGTTCAATTTCTGGATATTGTTTGCTGACAGAATGCCAACTAGAAAGCCACCACCTAGGACAGTCTGTAAAAGCATGTATGTTCATGGACCTAATAGCATTTATTTATTAGAGTGTAACTTTAGGCCCTCTTAAAATCAGTATAGTAGGAACAGGATTTCTAGTCGTTTCGTCACCAATTAATAACAAGTATGTAGTTTCATGAACGTTGGCTATTTAGCTCTAGGCTAGAAGCTGTGGGGGACATACACCAGTTCACAGAGAGCTTAACCTCACATGGGGAAAAGCTACAGGACGTGAATTGCACACAGGAAAAATTAGAGGACAAATCAAAACCTCCTTCTGTCCACACAGAATGTATCGCTGTAATTTGTTTAAACCACATGATCACTGGGCATAAGATTTCTCACTAGGAGATATGGAAATGAAGTAAAGTCACCAAATTCTGACTAAAATGAGTGGAAAATGTCAAGACAAAAAGACATAATTGGGAGGAACCAGCCACCTCAGGCTTAACCACAGAATCATCAACTAAGGTGCACAAGACCATTGCTCTCGTCCTTCACTATCCTAGCCAAGAGTTAACGCCCTCCCCCGCCTCCCCCTCTAAAACAGGGGTTGGCAAACTAAGGTCCACAGACCAAGTCTGTGGTGGCAGGCAAGTCTGGCATGCCACCTGTTTTGATATGGCCTGTGGGCTAAAAACGGTTTTCAGCTTTTTAAATAGTTGAAAAAAAATCAGAAAAGAATATTGTGTGACACATGGAAACTGTATAAAATTCAAATTTCAGCGTCCACAAATAAAGTTTTATTGGAACCCAGGCATGCTCATTCATTTTCATATTTTCTACGGCTGCTTTCACACTAAAAAGCCAAAGTTGGGTAGTTGCGACAGAGACCATATGGCCTGCAAAACCTAATATTTAGTAAATATAGTATCAGGCCTTTTACAAGCAAAGTTTGCCAACCCTGGGACTAAAGTAATTGGTTGCAGGGGGAGGGTTCTCTTTCACAAAATTAAAAAAAATTAAAAAGTTGAGATTAAATACATTCTAAGCCCCAATTTTAATTCTAGTAGATTTTTTAAAGGTTCCCTCTATCTCCATGTGTTTTAAATAACAGTAACTGCATAAAAAACGTAAAATGTAATAAGCTAGATATTTTTTCTTTAGCCAATGCTTACCTATTATAAGAACAAATGCCCTCAGAATCAAGGAGCCTCAATTAAGTTTTGAGTCCAGTATCCTACTATTTCTATGACCTTGAACAAGCCATTTACCATCCTCATGGTACTGGAGTGAGACACTGCATATAAAAGCACTTTGTAAATTACAAAGGACTGTGGAGAAGTACTTCATTAGTATTAGGTAACAATCTTTAAATTTTTATGCTCCCTAAGTAAAGCCATAGCTAAAGGATGATGATGATCACTCTCACAAATAGATGGCTTAGTAGAGAGAATCTCTAAAAGGAACACAGGAATTGATGACATATGGAGAATCTCTTATCACAGCAAACAAATTCAAACGTATCTGGAACTATCTGTGATAGGTACAGACTATTGGTCTATAGTCTATTACATAAGTTATTAGACTGTAAGACCATTACAGTGTATCTCACTGATCTTAATCTGCCTCACTGTAATTTACATAAAAATCTCTTCTGAAAATATTGTTACTTACTCTACCAAATGCCTTTCAAATTCTAAGACCCAGGTCTAAAACACCAAGTCTCCGTGTCTCACACGTTTTTTTAACGTGTTTTCTTTCAGACTAACTAGCGGATTCCGCCCCCTCTCCTCCTGCCCCATACCACTTCAAAGGGCACTGAGAGCTACACAGCAAGAGGAAATTACTCCGGCCACCTTCAATAAGGAAACAGATTGGAAATAAATCAAGACCCCTTCTGTTGCTACTGCCTTCACCCTTTTCCTGATTGGAAGGCTGTCCTTTCTTAACCTTGACCCTTCATCTTAACCTTGACCCAGTGAGACTATTTTTTTCTACAGTCTGTGGAATTTCCTCTTGGTCACGGCCCTACAAACCAGCTTCCCTGCCACAACTTAACTATGAACTAAATGGAAAGTCCCATTCCCTCTCCTTTCCCCCCCGGGACATTTCTCTAGTGCAAAGGGGTAGGCCAGAACAAAAAAAATTCACACTTAGTTATTTCCTAGGAAACATGAGATGGTGCCAGTCTCCCTGAACTCCTGACAGTACAATACCAGAGTAAACACACTACTGAAAGGAAAAGAAAGCACTATGCAAATGTTGGAGTCAAACAGATCTGAGTCCCAATCGACCCTTTACCAGC